CGTGTGTGTGTGCGTGTGTGTGTGTGTGTGTGTAAGTCCAACATATAATTACTTATTTGTCCAGGACGTTTCCAGCCTTGGGTTTCACTCCCCTGTATGCCCAGTGAGACGGGCGGCGGCACTGGGACAATGGCTTTCTGTCACTAATCAAACATGTTTTGTCTATTTTCAGACCCCGAGAAGGTAATGCTGCCACTTCCCACATTACCGACCACCACTTCAAGGAACAGATCGAGGAGAAATCTTGCTGGCCTGTGACCTTGTGTCGACCAGGCTTGCTCTGTTTGTGGCGCGAAAAGTCCTAACCTGTCTCAGGGAGTGACGATAACTCAGGGGTTCTGGATTACATCTTGGGCAACCCCCAACTTTTAAAACTTAAGTTTTGATTCCTGAAATGGTTTATGTCTCTTCATTATTTTACTACAGGTATGGGCCTTAATTCAGAAGTTTAGCCTCTTCAAGAACATAATATATTGTGTTTAAAAGGGGAGTAAACTTCTGGACGTCGAATTCTATTTTAGTCGTGCTTCACTGATAGACAAGAGTTGTGTCCAGCTGGTGCTACGTCGTACTGGTCTAACGGCCAGCTATCATGGTCACTGTTCTGACTCCCTTGAGCAATAGGCACGCAGAACGACCAGTAGACGCATCAGTGGACTCCAACTGTGACTCTTACAAGTGTCGCGGACAGATCCTTAATCGACCCCGCCCTTCAGACAACAAGCAACATTTGACCCTTTTGATTAGGTCAGATCACCCCAAAGGTGTTTTGATTTCTTCTTCTACTACAGCAACACTATCATCATCATCCTCAGTAGCAGCAGTAGGGTCAGAAACTGCTAGTACTATCCCAGTCTCAGCGCATTCTACAAAACTTGACAGCAAAGTTCGGAATTTCACCAGGCCTCCTCTCTGTTCTAGCTCTGCATCTGACGTCATCCCTCGGATTATTTTGTCGGATCTTTCTTCACTTACGTCATCAACAACGTCGAAAAAACATTGACCACGACATGGTTGAGCCAACCACCCTGGCTGCAGCGTGATTTTGGCGGCGATCCAACCCAATCGCGGTCCCCTTTTGGTCAAAAAGCAAACAACGACAAAGCGGAATAAAACGTGAGAGGTGGAGTTAGTGATATTGGAGTCTACTCTATTCCTCATGTTGGTGCGTCCTCCAAATGCACTTGTGTTCCACTTCGGATCGAATGCATCGTCAGTTTGATTCCATTCCATTCGTCCTATTTTGCTGACGGTAAGTTATTGCTTTTGATTGATTATACGTGTTTCTTTTGTACTGATTTTTTTCTTCCTTTTTCTCTTTCTTCCCTTCTCTTTCTGTCTTTTGCTGTCTTTTTCTCTGTCTTTTTCTCCTTCCTTCTTTCCCTCTCGCCCCACCTCTACCTTTCTCTCTTTCTCTCCCTCCCTCTCTCTCTCTCTCTCTCTCTCTCTCTCTCTCTC